ACGCAAAACGACGCAATTGTATCATCGCGTGGTATTATAAATAATAACATCTGCTTGAATATGTATGTAATACCCACTTTGTCTTTATTTCACTTCAACGATACTCAAGTGCGATAATTATTCTAAGGAGAAGAATTAATTAGCAAAATGAGTATTAAAATACGGCATATTTATTTCCGTTCTCTCTATTATTGGGGAAATAAATTATTACGTTCTAACATAATAAATTGCCGTGTGGTCCCGGCATGGAATGGACCACCTGTATCCTTTCCAGTGTGTGTCGTAAGAGGCGATTAAAGGAACTTAATGGTTGAGAAATGAACATCAACCCGTCTGCTAAGCGTGGCAACTATTGGCAAAACCCTTCTTATCGGGTAGACCTATATTCAGCAGTGGGCAGTTGACGGCAGATATGATGATGATGATTATAAAGACAGTAAGTGTATTTGGTTGACGTCTACTTGTTTAAGGGTGGTCCCTCCTGATAAAATTTTAAGCTTCTAATTTTGTCATATTTGATCTTAAACCGAATAAATATAAAAGACATTTTTGATAGAATAAAAATAAAGTAATTATAAACCCTTTTAATTAATTAAAATAAGTAAAAACATATAAAGTGAGAATAATGCGCGGCCACACAAGAAACGGATGGTAACCAAAGGAAAGAGTGACAGTAGGAAACAACTAGATGGAGCTGCATGGTTCACTTTCAACAAGTTTTCAAACGAGATATTCAACCACACATTGGGATCGACAAAGAGCGAGAGAGAAGGAATGAAAAACAAGAAAACTGATAATAAAATTCCATATCAAACCACTACTAGTCAGCGTAATTATAATAGAGAGGAAAGTGCTTGACGACGTGCCTGTAGTGGCAAGATAATAAATGGATTGCTAGGTATAACAGTTAAGGAAACTGTAATATTGTATATAAATCTTCTCGCAATAATTATGCACGGAGAGGGAAGCAGTTTTTGTTTTGCTTTTACAGAGAAAAACTCTCGCACTGTGAATTTTAATCACACTTGTTAATTAAAACAGTTTACCAACTCTTAAAGGAACGTAGTCACTGACAGCAAAGAATTGAGTTTTTACATTAAAGTACTAAATATAAGAATGATGATGATAATAATGATAATCCATCATCATATTAGCCGTTAACTGTCCATTGTTGAACATAAGCCTTCCCCATAAAGTGAGTTTAGCTAACAATTGTCACGCTTGACAGGCGGATTACCAATCGCAGTTTTTTTTTTTTTTATACAACTTAGAATGGCAAACAAGCTGACGGTCCACCTGATGAAAAGTGGTAATCGTCGCCTATAGACATGAGCAGTACCATGGACATAACAGAGTATACTGTTTCACGCATGATAATGCCCATGCGTTGCCATTCCTGAGGACTCAGGTGTTATTCCTTTGTACCCAGTAAATTCACGCCATATCCCACCCTTCAAACCGAATGCAAATGCACAGCCATCCAAACACAGCTGCTTCATGGTTGAAACACGAACCGGACAGAGGTACCCAAGCAATCGACTTTTGTACAAAGTCTCCCTCTGGTTAGCAGTTAGGCTTTTAGTGATGTTTTGAAAGAAACGCTGCTGCCCATTCTACTATCATTATGTTTTCTAAGTCGCCTCTTACGTCACTCACGGGAAAGGATGGGGTGGCCTTTACTATGCCGGGACCACACGGAAATGTTTGTATCGTATGTAGTATGTAAATATTGACCTACCATAAAAATTTTCTGTAATTTTATTGTCGAACGAAGTAAAAATTTGATTACAAAATAATGAAGGAAAATGCTGTCGTGTCAATATATAAATGTCAACATGAAATGATTTGATTGATACGTTTTGTGCGACTGAACCCCTTAATCAGGCATCATGTAATTTATTATACTTGTAATGTTTGTGATAATATAGACTTTTTTATCCCGGTAAATTAATATATCCCGGTCACGCGGACTATGTCGCGGGTAAAAGCCAATGTATAGTAAAATATTAATTTGGACATAGTTCAAGAATACGTATTTTTTTGTTTATATTATTATATTTTATTTATATTATTTTTATTATATTTCTGTATATTTTCTTATAGGAGGGGTTCCTGAACTTTTAAGGTAACGAAACGCCCACCAAATACCTTTTTATTTTATAGGACCCCATATCAAACGATTACAAATCAAAAACACTGTAATTTAAATAAAAATAAAAGCTTTTATTAGAAATATTTTAAAAGTATAACAATTTATAGCTTCTTTTAATTTTGAATGTGACGAATGAAATTGTTTCACTGTTAATTAATTTTGCGGAACCCTTGTGACTTTTTTACGAAACCCCTAAATTCTGCGGAACCCACTTCAGAAATCGCTGACTTATACAACTATATTATAATATAATATAGATATTAGGTTGTAACAAAAATGTACACAGGCGGACTTATTCCTTAAAGGGATTTCTTCCAGTCAACCTTGAGAACCCGAAAGGAAAGTGTCTATAGTCTATAGGGTTTGTGTATGAAGCATAACATACATATATGGAGTATAAATAATACCATAAATATTTATTTTCCGATAGATTTGTCAATATAGATCGGATGGTGTTGAGTAACCTTTCCATTCCCACCTTTGTCGGACTCACTTTAATCAATAACGACACGAACAGAATAAAATTACGGCTTTATTGAATTTGGACGTTTGCATTTCTGAAATGCTTTTAACTGTTAGCTGCGTACTCTACAAAATTAACAAATAAATTTGTTTTATATCCAACTGTATGTAGATTCATTATCATAAGTTTCGTGAGTATACATTATATTTTAATGTAATAACAATCGGGTAAACTTACATGCATAGGGGGAAGGGGATTGTTAGTAATGCTAGCAATATACCCTAATAGGTTGACCTTCACGTGGTTCCCCCTGGAAACCATAATGACGATGGGCTAAGTAAACTACTTTCATCTTTACCTATTATCTCTCAGTGGTGTCCCACCGGCGTATACTGATGGCGCAAGCGGAAATACCATATCATCTTCACCCCTTAAAAAATATACGTGTATTTAAGTCGAGCGAGTAGTTAATCCGATTATTATTATATATATATATATATATATATATATATATATATATATATATATATATATATATATATATATATATATATAAGCAATTTTTGAATATTTAACTTCAATAAAATTTCATTTATACACATATAAAGAGACACTCATATCAAATGTATGAATGAATGAAAACTAAGCATAACAAGATATATTGTTAAACACAAAGAATGATACAGATTATATAAGTTAACAATATGTACATAAAAAAATCTTAAATGCACTCTATTGAGATACAGGGGTTATTCAAGTATTACGTAATGCAATTTGGGATGGAGTGGATTTTGCAAAACGATACGTTACAGGAGCGGATGGGGAGTTTTTGAACTTGACTATTTTCTTTTTATTTTGTTTTTGGTGTCAGTATTCGTTATATGACTTTCAGGTAAAAATGGTCACTTGGGTTTTACGTAACATTTAGAGAGAAGCCTTTCCCTCCCTAAAGGGAGGGTATAGAAAAATGTGACAGCGCACTACATGGTGGAAAAAAGAGGGTAAAAAAATCTACAAAAATTGCATTACGTAATACTTGACCGTTGCCACAACCGTTTGACCGTTGTTACTTATATTTTTTTATGTAAACAAAACCACGGATAGTACTTGTGTGTTCAATTTTATATATATATATATATATATATATATATATATATATATATATATATATATATATATATATATATATATATATATATATATATACGCGGTTTCCCCTGGAAACCATCGTGGTTAATTTTAGTGGAATTCGTCATGATGGGCTAACTGACTTGCTTTCATTCTTACCTATCATCCCTCACTGGTGCCCCGCTAGCGTATACCGATAGTGCAGGCGGGGTTATCATTCTATTATCATCCATTAAAACGATACCATCTCAAGGAATTAAAGTAACAGAAGGATTTGTTTATTATTATGTTATAATTAGAGTTAAAATGATTTAATTAATGAGATTTTATTGAACAATAAAAGTAATAGCTAAGAAAGAATTTTTATTTTCTGCCAACACTGGATTGGATATGACGCGCCCCTGTCTACCGAGTAATTTGCTACGTGCTACGACGTCCCGTAGCACGGCGTAGGCGTACCTACGGAGGCTACGAGTCAAACGCAATTAACTGCTTTATTGAGGAAGCAATCTTCAGGTATACAGTTTATTTTTGTGGCCCATTATTGTTTTATATTTAGTCGTAATGACTTTTATTACTTGGGTAATATTATGTTTTTGTAACAGATGTTTCGTGGAAATATTATTTAAGCAAAAAACAGAAAGTAAGTTTTCAATTGGCCATTTTGTTTTAGTACTTTTAATATTATCAACCGTCTTCAAAAAAAGGACATTCAAAATTAAATTGCATTTTTTATTTTTATTATCTCATAATTCCGTTAGTTCTAAGCCGATATGATTTTTTTATCTGAAACTATATGTTTACAGATTGGTTACATAGAAATTTTATAATAAGCAATGGGACTGTTAGAACTCATTACTAACAAATCATTTCCCTCCAGTAAAAGATATCGGATGTTGCCATCTCATTCCATTTCGTGGATGCGTAAGTGATAATGTTCCTATCGATTCGTTTGATACTTGTATAAGTGAGCTATAAATTGAGTGAATGAGTTTACTTTATTAGGAAATAAGCAAGATAATTAAATTTTTTTTTATACCATGAAAATGTAAATAGTTAATGTAAATATATATTTATTTCTCTCACAAAATAACAACATAATAAAATTTACAAATATATAGGTTACAATTTAAAACAATCTTTGTGAGGGACTGGTGAATTTCAAACAGTAATATGTACTTTTGCAAAATAACACTAGATACAATTAAATATATACATAGCCATAATTGATCATCGAAATGTATAAATCAAACTCACCAATAACGACATCTAGCGGGCGTTCTGGTTCGGGCCGCTCAGAAACCACGCCGGCGAGCACCATCGCCAAAGACAGTAAGCCGATGCGCCACATGGTACCTGTCGACAATATTTGGCATCAACAATCACAGATTTGATATCTTCAGTCACATTGGAACGTGATAATGTGTTACTATAATTGTCACAAATTTTTACCACATCTGCCCTTTATACGCTTTCTGTTTTTATATAATGGTTAGCTAGAAGAGAATGCCATATGGCATTAAGCTCGTCATTTATACAAAGTTTTATTGTGCTATAAAGAATAAATAATGAACATATTTGTTACCTCTATATAACTTAAGGGCATTCAGAGCGATCAGAGAGTCGATTGCTTGGGTACCTCTGTCCCATTCGTGTTTCTACCGTGAAGCAGTTGTGTTTGCATGGTTGTGTTTCGGTTTGAAGGGTGGGAAATGGCGTGAATTTATAGGATACAGAGGAATAACACCCGAGTCCTCAGGAATGGCAACGCATGGGGGGTACCATGGGCAAAACAGTATACTCTGTTATGTCCATGGTACCTCATTTCTATAGGTGACGGTTACCACTTTCCATCAGTTGGGCCGTCAGTTTGTTTGCCATTCTAAGTTGTATAAAAAAAATACTGACCCAAAAAAAGAATTTGAAAAGGTTTTAAGCAAAATATGTAGTACATGGAAAAGTTTTAGTGGGAGGTATATGTACTGTTTACTCTTAAATTAACGTTTGAATTTACAATCAGATCACCATTTAAACAAGAAAGTCAATGTGAAATATTAAAAATTTGTAACAGGGACGTGCAAAAATTTCCATGGAAACCATACATAACACGTTGGAATCGTAACTTTATCATGATATATAAATTTAATACTATTGACATGTTTCTTTCTTAACTAAACTACACCCACTACTTACGTCCTACGTGATCCGTTTATAAAAGTAAGTATATACGAGTACATTTATATTACAAAAGTGTCTAGATAAGAGAAATCCCTCGACTTTGAACATAAAGGGCGACCTCGCTTTGAAAGCACGGCGTCCGCCTTGCGCCTTCCGACGGCCGGCACAATAGGGGTTGTCTGAAACTAGGGTAGCAATAATAGGAGTTATGTGAATACATGGAACGTCACAAGACTACTACTATTTGTATAGTTGCCTGGTACTTTTACACGACTTGAATTAAGTCTGAACAAGGAGCTTGTGTTGAATTCAAGAAAGAAGGCTGAGTTAATATCATATTTGAATAAGAATCGTAAGAGAGTAAACCGAATGTTTTAATTGGAAAGATATGACTCAATTTGTTAGTAATATAAAGCTATATCTTCATCATGCACACGGCCAAAAAGTGGAAGTTTCTCCGCATTTATGTTTTTTCAACCATATATAATCTAGATCAATTTAAGGCAAATGTGAATAGGCCATTTGTAAGCTAGCGAGCTCATTCGTATGCCAAATCATAACTTTCTATCAAGTGAGATCGTGACGGCACTCATTAACAATAAAGAATAATAATAATAAAAAATACAGTAGCCATGTATAGTAAATAATTTCGAAATAAAAAAAATCTCTTTTCTAATTGTTGGTATAGACTTTTATTCGTTTTATTAGTTCAATGAATGTGAAATAAATTATAAGTCCTTTAAACCCATTAGTAATTCTATATTTTATGTGAATTGTGAACGGTTAGAATTTCAAAGGAAGAGCCCGACTGTCGAAGTAAATGCAAGTGCTCCGAACAAAGTCAGTCAGGCATGAAAACACTTGTGAAATTTACGTGGCATGGTGCCGCTTTGATGTGGTTTAAATACTTTACTTACCTGCCTATATACTTCTATTATAAGACAGAAGGATAAACTACAGACCTGTTACCTACTTATGAAACATTTAATAATAAAATATGTCCATTATCTAAATATATTTATAGTTGTTCTTCATTGTTAGCTAATTGGCATTACTTTTTATTATTAGACTTATAGTACATGTGCCAAAAATGTTGGCGACATTAACATGCGTTAGTTAAACTACCAGAGGGAGACTTTGTACAAAAGTCGATTGCTTGGGTACCTCTGTCCCATTCGTGTTTCAACCGTGAAGCAGTTGTGTTTGCATGGCTGTGTTTCGGTTTGAAGGGTGGGTACAGAGGAATAACACCTGAGTCCTCAGGAATGGCAACGCATGGGGAGGTATCATGGGCGAAACAGTATACTCTGTAATGTCCATGGTACTGCTCGTGTCTATAGGCGACGTTTACCACTTTCCATCAGGTGGGCCGTCAGCTTGTTTGTCATTCTAAGTTGTATAAAAAAAAAACTACAAAGTCTTTGAAATATATTGATGATGATGATGATATTAGCCGTAACTGTCCACTGCTGAAAGGCCTCCCCATTGTGGGGTTTTGTCAACAGTTGTCACGCTTGGCAGGTAGGTTGGCAAGCGCATTTAGGCTTTGGTAATGTTTTAAGAGAGACTCTGCTGCCCATATTTCGACTATTAAGTTCCCTTAGTCGTCTCTTGCGACACTTACAGAAAAAGAAGGGGTAGCCTATTCTATGCCGGAATCACACGGGTTTGAAATACAATGGATTGTGTACATTGTATAATCTATATTTTTACAGGTAGGTAATAGCTATAAAGTAGTACGGTTACAAGCAGAAAAAAGGCGACATTTTTAATGTCATTTTTAACTTTGTCTATAATAATAGAATGAATGAAAGAATGAAATGAATTTTTATTTTTAATTATTTAGCATTGTAATAATTATGCTTGATAATTAAAAATAAAAATTCAACTTTATTGTCAAATTATCTCGAACTACATGTATGTATTAAGTAAATTAAAAATTTTTAGTATGCCAGCATATATTTATTCAATAATACTAAGAAAGTTTTCCAATTTCAGGAATATGATCTTTCTCTCGCGTCTACATTATACCCATGGGTGCATTATCTACTGACATAATTCTATTTGGGTTTATCAAGGTCTGATCATGGGAGCTAAGGAAAATCTTTCATCGTTACTATTGCATAGGCACTCATGGATTCTCATTTCGTGGCGGAAATGGGTATGATAGTGGCATTTATACTTTGCGCGTTGTAGTATGAATGGGTGACAGCTGACATTTGGAATTATTTATTGTAAAAGAATTGTATTGAGTGAGAGATTTGAAGTAGGTAACCTAATAATCACACTTGATGTTTTGTTGAATTCATAAAATACTTTTTAATATGTATTTTTGTTCGAGTAACTTTTTATGGTTCTTAAAAAGTGTGATTGAAGCAGATCCTCTATTTATTATCAGTAGAATATTATGTCGATTATTTTGTACTTCTAAATAATTTTTTTTTTTTAATATTATTTTAAGGGCTTTTACCTTCTTCAGGTATATCAGTCCTATTGTACCCTGAACTGATTTCTCAAACAAAACTCAAACAATTTTTTTTTAATTACGAGTATGTAATATTAAATATGATATGTTTAATATTCGCCTATCTCGCTAGCTGCTTTTCGCAAAATGAAATCAAGACCACAAAAAGTAATCCTTTTGCGTAGTCCTTTAGGATTATTAATAAGGGTAACGAGATTAGATAAACCCAGAATTTTCTCTACGTATTTATAGTAGCTACAAAACTTTATTAAAGTTCGTATTGTATTTACAATGTGCATTTTGCGTTGCGTCGGAAATTATCAATTTTTGACGAGGGTCAGATCGGATCGTCCGACCAATAACCGACTTGCTACAATCTATTTTCTTTTGGCACATTATTTTGTATACTTGACACGACATGGCACTTTGATTGATAGTTAGGTGTACTCATGATTTATTAATAAACTGTGTTATATAAAAGTATATATACTGACTCACCCAGAAAACTTTATTTTGCGTTTACGTATGCGTGAATTTTGAAATGAATTGACCAGTTCTAGATGGCGTATCAAAGTAAAACATACATCAGATTTTGATTTATATTTTCAGCAGAACATCTCATTCCATTTGGATTTTTTGCGTATTGCTGGAACTAAAATATATAAAGACAGACCGACAGATAGGCAGAATTAAATAAAAACCGTTTTGGTTTCCATTGCCCTTAAAGATAAAGTCGACAATATTTGAAATATTGTCTAGTTATAATTTTATTATATTAGTAAAGCCCAGGAAAGTCAAGACGAGGGGAGAAAGAAGATGACCAGGGGATACAGAGAAGACAAGTTTCAGCTAGACGTTATTTTGCCTCTTATTATTAAATATTAATTAAGTATTAAATAGTTCTAAATTAATTAGTATATTTAGTTATTATATACGGTATTAGTATATTAGTTTACGTAGTATAATTTCGGAATTATTTTTTTTTGTAAATGTATTTGATTCTCAGAAAACGCTTAAACTTATATATTCATAACTATATAAATATATTCATGAAATCTTTGAGTCGTGGAACTCAACCGCGTAACTATTAGAGGGTAGGAAGTGGTTGGTGGTGATTTATTCTTATATACCAGAGGGAGACTTTGTACAAAAGTCGGTTGCTTGGGTATCTTTGTCCCATTCGTGTTTCAACCGTGAAGCAATTGTGTTTGCATGGCTGTGTTTCGGTTCGAAGGATAGGATATAGCGTGAATTTACTAGGTACAGAGGAATAACATCTGAGTCCTCAGGAATGGCAATGCTTGAGGGGTTTTATGGGCGAAACAGTATTCTCTGTTATGTCCATGGTACTGCTCATGTCTATAGGCGACGGTTACCACTTTCCATCAGGTGGGCCGTCAGCTTGTTTGCCATTCTAAGTTGTATAAAAAAAAAATTAACAACAAAAGTGAGAAATTAAGAAAAATTTAGTTTGTTTTTTAATGAATGATAATGAAACGATAGTCCTACTTGCGCTATCAGTATACACTGGCAAAGCACCAGTGAGTGATGGTAGGTGAGGATGAAAGCAGATCAGTTGGTCCATCGCGACGAATTTAACAAGAATTAGCCACGATGGTTATCAGGGCAAACCACGTGGAGGTCAATCTGATATACCCGTTGCTATGAATGTACCTTTTGTATTACCTGTAGTATTAATGTACCTATGTGTATT